TTCACCCCTTACGGAATGCCGCTCCCTGCGACCTGAAGCCCCCAGTAACCCCGCGCCTGACACGCCCCACCCCCCCACCCCCCCCTCCTCCCCCCCCCCCCCCCTCCTCCCACCCCCCCCACCGCCCCCTTCCCCCCCCTCGCCCTCCCTTCCCCCCCCCCCCTCCATCCAACAGACGACCATCCCTTTCGCCGGCCGCCACCCCCGGAAATCCACGACGACAAGCGCATTCTCCGGACAGCTTCACCCTCTTCGCTGACCACCCCCCCCCCCCCCCCCCCGGCCGGGCTGTAAAGGGCACCCAAGTTCACGGTTCGCTAGCCACTCGGAAGACGCTCACAGCTGGGCCTCACGCGGACCCGCACAACATCTCTCTTCTGTGTTTACCTTATCCAACCACTCCTCAGACTCGGAGCAGTAATATCTCTCGAGCGCCGCATCACTTTGGTCCAGCCCACATACTAGCCTCTTCCTGTCTTCCGACGCTGCCGACGAAGCCGCCCCTGTCGTCCACAGCCAGACACGATCGCGACAGTCGTCCAGGTAGGTTGCCAGGCGAATACCCTGTTGTCTTAACGGGGCTATCGCGGCTTCCGTACATCGCACAAACACTCTTGGACTGAGAGACAGACCGAAGGGAAGTACTCTGTGGGTAATATACTGGGATGTGGAAATACGCATCTTTCAGATCGACTGATGTGAACCAGTCGTTTTGTCGCACGAGACGTAGCAGAGATGTGTGAGTGAGCATTCTGAATTTGTATCTTTTGAGATATTTGTTCAGAGCTCTCAAATCTAGTATTGGCCGAATTCCGTTCCCTCCCCGTTTGGGGGGTATTATAGATGTAGCCTTCTTTTCTAGTAGCGAGAGAATCTCTCACTCCAGAATATGGGCTGACTCTCCCCGGGCTTGTGAATACAGAATGCCCGAGAAGCGAGGGGGGGTGACAGCGAATTGGAGCCTGTAGCCCCGTGTTACTGTCTTGAAAACCCAAGCAGAAGCTGTGAGCATCTTCCACCTTTCGCTCCTTAAAGCGAGTGGAGATGTCACGTCTCTTTCCCTCTGAGTCTCTATTTGTTGTGTTATGGGGCCCTCTAGTGTCTGAACACGGCGGTACCCCAGGTTGATAACCCCAGCCGGCACTGCGCATGCACGTGGCGGTGGTGCCTTCACAGACCCGTCTATTATCCGCCTTTTGAGATAGGCCGTAGCTGCTCTCAAAAGAGGGACAGGTGACAGACTGTTTATTGTTTTTCTTTTTTTTGGACTGCGCCCTCGGCTTAAAGCCTGGATGCGACAGTGAAAAATGGTTTATTTGAAAACAATGGTATTTGTGACATGTGTTTTTGTGACTTAGGCAGATAGCAGAACTCGCTGTCTCTGGTATTAAGTCTGTTTCCCTTCTGGCGCGAATTTGAGGATGGCGTTGCGGCATCACTCGAGGCTGCGGGAAGATGGGGGCATGGTGGCACCCCGAAAACACATCTGGAGCTGGGGAACAGGGAACTTCCAGCTCTGTCACCGAGGAAAGGAGAGGAGGCTGTCAGGCCGCCCGCTTCTTCTTCCTCGACTGGTGACTGAAAATCTGAGTCGGCTGTGCCTGAACGGCTGCTGCCGGAACCGGAGATTTTCTCGGCCAGCTCGTCCTTGTCTCCTGCCTGGGCTGGGGACTCGGGGCGGGCTGTGGCCTCTGCTGCTTCGGTATCTTGAACCGGGCAGGGAGGTCGGTCAGGTTGAGCCACCTGGCTCTCTCCTGTACCACCATTATGCCCATGACTTTGCCCGTGGCCTGGACTGCACAGCGCTGCACACGGAGGCAAATGTCCGTGATCGCTGCGATCTCGTCCCACACGGCCGGCCCAGGTTTGCTCGACAGGTCCTCGCAGAGCTCCGCCTGGTAGGCGGTCAGCAGTGAGGATATGTTGAGTGCCCTGTCGGACAACGCTGCGGCTTTATAGGCCCGTTCCGTCATCGCTGACTGGAATCGGTCTGCCTTCACCGGTAGCGTGGGGTTCCTGCTTGGTGTCCGAGCCAGCCTCGGTAGGAGGTGGGCTGCCACCAGCGGTTCCATGGGCGGCATGCGGAGCAGGCCGAGCCTCTCCATACCGTCACAGTCCAGGGAGGAGGCACCCTGGATTGGGGCCTTATTACTGAAGGGGCGGTCTCTCCACAAGACCGACACCTCGTCCAGCATCTCCGGGAAGACTGGAAGGAGCTGCCTCTTTGTCCTCGCTGCTTGGGGCAAAGTCTTCCCCTCGTAGCGAGACCTGGAGGTCCCCTTGGCCATTTCAGGCCATGGGATGTCCAGCCTGGACGCGGCACGTTGACACACGGCCTGCAGGTCCATGCTCAGACAGGGCGAAGCTGGTGCGCTATCGCCCGGGAGAGCAGCCATCGCTCCCGGCTTTGCAGCCTGAGCCGATGACACGAAGATATCATCTTCTTGCTGATCTGAGTTGGACAGGAGGAACTCAGAGGCATCCTCTTCGTCCTCCATATATTCCAACTCCAGGACATCCTCCGCGGGCGAGACCATGGTGAGGTCCAGCCGGGAGCCCCAGCTTGGTATAGCGTGGGGCTCCGCTCTCGCGTCTCTTGCCGCCAACGGGTCCCAGCCTGACACGGCGCGGGACTCCGGTTCTGCAGCTGCCGCTGTTGGTGAGCCCCAGACCGACACAGTGCGGGGCTCAATCTCTGCGGCGGACGCCCCCGTGTCTTGATTGCCAGCCGGCGAATCAGCGGACATGAGGGGGTCCTGTCCCGACAAGCTAGCTTGGCGTGCTAGCCGTCGGCGGAGGCTCTTGATGGTGAAGCGGGCACAATGCCCGCACGAGCCGGGGTTGTTGATAGCCTCCTGGGCGTGTTCCAGCCCGAGGCAGGACGAGCAGACCTGGTGTGAGTCTGTGCCTGATATTTTCAACCCGCAGCCGCAGAGCCGAGCCTCCGAGTCCCTGACTCCTCTGGTGTGAGGGAGAGAAGCGTCCATCTTGTTCGCCGTGGTGACAGCGTGGAGAGGACCCGCTCGTAACAGGTACGTTGCTGAGAAAAAATTTTTTTCCCACCTGTCGTTAATCCGGAGAAAAAGCGACGGTGTAGAATTTTATTCTCAAAGAATATTAACTGGTGTGTTAATACCTTTTTATCTTCCCCTCCTCTGGTGTGAGAGAGAAAAAGAAAAAACGTCCTCGCTACCGTGGTGTCGGTAGTGAGGGAAGGCAAGCTAGCAACAGGTGTGTACTAGCTTGAAAAATCAAAACCTTACCTTTATTTCCGAAGAAAGAAACGGCGAGGTAGATTGCAATACTAACTGGTGTGTTAGTATTAACAGTCTTCTTGCGAAGCAAAAAAGTAGCCGGCGAGCGCCCGTCGACCGAAAGTTAGCTTTGGGTTCAGTCTGTGGACTGTTAAGCTAGCCCGGCTACTGATATGTCGAGATGTGCTCTGAAGCGAGAAGAGGTGTTTGAATGACGCTGCGACATGGCGCAAGCTACTTATAGGGTGGGTGGATTCCCTGACGCTGACGTCAAGATCACCAGCCAATCAGGATTGGCGTAATGAGATTGATGTTTCTGTTTGCTCCGCGATGAGGCGCATCCCATAGTGAGACATCGAACGGAGTGTTATGAATGAGAACAAGAGGCCAACATGCAGGGTCGTGTAGGGCTGCCATTGTCGTTACTAAAGTTATATATCCTGCTGCATTACATCCCATAACCCAGAAGCATCCAGGCGACAGCTCCCTCAGATTGAAAGTCCTTCGGGGACCTCTGGTATCTGAAGCCCTGATGCATGTATTCATGACGCTCCGCACAGTTTGCACAGATGTTTGTACACATTGGAAGTACAACTGGGACTCCTGTAAGGAAGCAGGGAGACAGAGCAGGAAGCAACAGCTGGAGGCTGCCAGATGTGTTTGCAAACAGAGAAATTAGAGAGTGCGAGGCTCACAGAGAGTGTGTGTCCTGCATGTAAACAGCCGACACAGAGTGCACGCACGCGCGCACGCACGCACGCACGCACGCACGCACACACACACACACACACACACACACACACACACACACACAGGAGACGATACAGGGATAGGTCGTGCTGCGTGTCTTCAGCAGCAGACATTTTCACTCTCATGATGGCACACACAGGGAGGCACCCCTTTGTTAATGTGACGGTTTAGCAGTTACCAAACAGCACCACAACACACATTAATATAATAATAATGATACACAAACGCTATGATTTTTGAAGGTATGGCGCTTGGGTACTATGATAGATATTCTAGGTGTCATTCTCAGATATCAATATAATCTTCCAATGTAAAAATAAAGGGACATTCGGTACAGCCATAGACGTTATCTCACCTGAATAAATACCATGAGAGCAACAGTATTCGCTGATAGAGCTGCAGCTGGGGGGGGGCGGGTGCTGCATTGAGTCAGATCAGTGGTGCTCCTAATCTGGCACGTAAACACTGCATTGTGTAAGAGAGCAGTGCAGTAATCCTGTGTGTGTGTGTGTGTGTGTGTGTGTGTGTGTGTGTGTGTTCCTGGGTCAGTGGGGTCAAGCTGCACAGCATTACAGTTACTGCAGATGTGATGCTGTCTGTTCTGTTTCCATATACCATGCTAACAGTGCGCTGCAGAGATGCCTCTAGGTGTAGAAGCCCACAAAGTTTCATCCTCAGCCCCCCGCCACCCCCTCTGTGTTCATGAAAGCACACACACAGTCAATAGCGTGCATCAGAAGATAGCTGAGACTCAAAGTGCATTGCTATATTTACCTTAAAAGGTTTCCCTGAGGCTGGGAGCTGCACTCTGCTGAGGCTGGCACACACACACACACACACACACAGGTTGTTAAGTCAATAAAACAAGAGCTGGCGTATGTGTCCTTCAGTCTTCCGTCTCGTTGAGGCTTTATTAAAGTCCATGAGTCTGATGTCCTGAAGCAGAACACATGACCGCAGTGAGTAACGAGGACTTCCTGTAGTTTCCTATCTCTCTGTGTAATGATGAGTGTATCGGTGGATCGTTGGGCCGGGCCCCGGGGCCTCCGCCTGGCCCGCTTATAATGAGGCCACGATGACTACATCTGTGTGTGACTGCATTCTGTGTGTGCACTGATGAGAGCAGAGATAGTTCCTCTGTAGCCTTGTTGCTGAGACAGAAGGCAGCAGCAGCTTCCTGCTCCGTCTCAGAGAATGGAAACTAAAGTGATTTGAACTGTATAGTATTCAGTCGTTCATTTAAAATCTCAGTGGCCGACAACAACCTAAATGAGGTATTATTTAAGATTTGATGTCATCAAATGTCATGATAATTTCAACATACTATATACTATGTTGTTTTTTTCGATATATTCAACGTATGTCGCTTTTTCAGATTTTTTTCAAAATATTCTACTAGATATTTTCTTCTGATATTTTTGACATAATATACTCTGACTTTTTCTCGGTTTACCATACTATGTCTTATATGTTGGACATACTATACTGTGTCCTTTTTTCTGATATTTTTTACATATGCCATTTTATACCATGACATGTTTGGACGTACTGTTCTATGTTTTTTCAGATATATTATGACGTTTTCTTTCCTCCAAATACCATACTTTTTCAACATTTTAGCCTACTGGCCTAATTTTCACACACACACACACACACACACACACACCTTCTCAAGCATTAACCTTGTGTGCGTGTGCTGCAGGTGGAGCGCACCAGCCGGCCGGACCTCGCCCTCTTCCTCACGAAGTACGTGATGATGCTGATCGTGGGAATCCCCTCCGTGTTCTGGGTGGGCAGCAAGAAGACGTGCTTCGAGTGGGCGGGCTTCTTCCACGGCAAGAGACACAAGGAGTACGTACTTTATACCTGACACTAAGGAGTTTCATATGAGACGCTCAACACTAATCTTAAGAGCTCCCTCCCATGATGTGGAAGTGTGAGCAGAATGCTATTCATTTCATCCCTTTGTAGTGATCATTAAATAAAAACAACGGTATATTTTAATCTCATTATTTATTCTTGCATAAAACATATTTACATATTCTTATAGAAAGAAACATACACAATCAATATGAAGACAATTTAAATATGATGAATGTATTGGGATCAATTGACTGACTCCACTGATAAGCCAAGTTCAAACAACAGAAGTCCTGACTGACATTAATAGATTCAAACTTTAGCATTCATCCAAATGATAAGCCATTCAAGAAATGTTCATGTCCTCCCTTTAAATATGGTGAGGCATTCCAACTGGATTATTATGGGATACATGGAGCACCTGGAGCAGATCAGTAGAGCACAGTGCAAGGTCTTTGATGTTTGGCTAACGACAGGTGTGTAGATGTGTGTAGTTGTGTGGCTTGGTGGTGAACACTGACCCTTCTCTGCACCCCCCCTCCAATCAGAGCATTAACCCCCTCTCCCCCCGCCTGCTCCACCCACTCCATCCTCTTCTACCACACCCCCCCC